AAAAAGAAAAACAACATGTTCAAAGATAATCTATTGTTAATCTTTGTATGTATAGAACTGATGTGCCAGGAAATGCCTTGAATGTTTTTCTAGAACAAGGCACCTAAGAAAGAAAGAAAGAAATTTTGTGGCTCAAACTCAGAGTGGGCTGTTACCCCAAACTCTTTGATATGAAAAAAAAAATTAAATCAAAAGAGAGCTTAAAAGAATTACACAGTGATCCACCACATTCCACACCTACCCTTTAAAAATGTTAACTTTCACCACATTTGCTGAGTATTTATGTATATATAAATAGATGGAATTTTCTGAACCATTTAAAAAGTAGGTCAGAGACAATATAACACTTCATCCCTGTTTACTTCAGAAAGCATCCCTAAAAATAGACTTTCTTTTATATATCTGAAATACTCTCATCACATCTAGGAAGATTAACAAAAATTCTATAATTTATTCCTGTATCCTCAATTCTCTCACTATTCTAATTTCTGCAATTGTGCCCAAAATTTAGGGCACAATTTAGGGCTGTATTTTTTAAACCAACATCCAAGCAAAATCTATGCAATGCATCCAATTGCTATATCTCTTTAGACTCTCTTGATATATGGGACAATTCCTAACACCTTCTCTTTTCCATTAAAATAAATTTTAATAGATCTGGAGAGTCATCTTATTTGAGTAGAGTTTTAGAGTCCAATGGTCAGGTGGAATTCTAATACTCATCAACGCTCAAAGGAGCTCTGGTTTGTTGTTGTTTTGTACTGGGGATTGAACCCAAGAGCACAATACCCCAGAGCTACATCCCCTGTTCTTTTTATTGTTTACTTTGAGACAGGACCCCACTAAATGGTTGAGGCTGGCCTTGAACTTGTTATCCTCCTGCCTCAGCCTCCTGAATCACTGGGATTACAGGCATGAGCCACTGTACCCAGCAAGAGCTCTGAAGTACATGTCGCTGCCCCAGCCTTTCATAAACTGAAGGTGCAGGTCTCAGAGGGCTGTGTTGGGTGGAGCTAGAGGAACCTCTACTTCTTGTGATAACCTATTTGTTCTGCTTTGCTTCCTTCGTCATCTTGATCAGGATATGTTGGAGCCGAAAGCTGAACAGGGCCAGGACCTTCAGAAAGAACAGGATGAGCAAAAACCAGATCTTGTTCATGAAGTACCTCAAGTGTCCACATCGATGCTGTTTCCAGAGAACAAGATCCCTGAGCTGTAAGCCTTGGCACCTGCAGAAAAAGTGCTTAATGACTGGGGGGCAGGAAGGATGAAATTTAGCAAAGTATTGAGGGAAAACCGAATGGTTTTAAATTCCATACATGTCTTGAACCACAAAGCACTCATGCCAAGGGCTTCTCTTTGCAAACTTATCTTTGAAGCTTGAAATTAATACCTACCTCAACCCTCTCATATAACTTTCTAGATATGGAAATCATTCTCATTATCATGACAAATATATTGTGAAGCCCTTGTAGACCCTTTCTCCATTGTATACTTCTTCCTCAACAAGATGCAACCATTATCCTGATACCAATATTTAGCATTTGCCCCATGGAAGGAAATTAAAACTACATCCACGTTTTGTCAATAAAGACGAAATTTGCTTTGTTTTATCCAGCCTTTTAAAGACCTGTTAAAATGGATATCAGATAAAGGCCCAAACTTCTTGAGTCCTAAGTGCCCACCTGTTTCATTTTGATGATATGAATAAACAGACCCATTTGTCATTCGAAAGAAGGGACTTTGGGGCTATGTCAGCCGTTCCCCACTTGCTTACCTACCAATGATCCTAACATTTCTGCAGGAGTCCACAGAGGATATTTCTCAGGCTGAACTACTGGAATGCAAAGATGGGTCTGCAAGTGAAAGACGTTGGAGCCGATCACATTGACTGGATGGAGAAAATCAACAACATTATACAAAAGATAAATACAACGGAAAGCACAGTGAAAAGGTAATTGTAGGATACTGAAATCAGTCAAAAAATAGTGGAAGGTTTTATAGCTTCCACAACCTAAGATGTTCTGGATTTAAAGGGATGAAATCTTTAGGATAAGAAGTATAAAGTCCTGTGATCTGTAATCAATGCCACAAAATCTTAGAGCGGAAATCAAAGTTATCTGCATCTTTGCTCTGTGTTCTCTCACACACTTTCTTTAAGGCTGAGTTAGTTACCACAGGAATGTGTTCAGGTCTTCAGTACCTTTGAAGGTTATTCCGTATTGTTGACAGGACATGCTTAGGGGAAAAAATGTGAAGCGTATTTGGTAATGTGCCTCTGGATTTCAATGGGACATTTTAAGGTGAAGAAAAAGAAAAGGTAATTGTTATTGCTGAGCATGGTGGCACATGCCTGTAATCCCAGTCACTCAGGAGCCTGAGGCAGGAGGATCACCAGTTCAAGTTTAACCTGGGCAAGTTAATGACACCCTGTTTTAAAACAAACAAACAAAAAAAGGTCTGGGGGTATAGCTCAGTGGTGGAACACCCTAGCACCAAAGGAAAAAAAATCATCATAATAATTGTTATTCATTTAACCACTAGAATAAAGAGAATGGGTTCTGGAGTCAGAGGGACATTTCTTGGCAAAATCACCAACCTTTTTAAAGCCGTGGCTCTCCTCTTCTATGCAGAGGAACTAAAGGGCACCTCCCTGGCATATTGTAGGAAATCAATAAAATTCCGTATGTAAAGATCGTAACATGGGACCTGGTCCATAACAAATGATTAATAAATGGAAGTCACTGTTAGAAATGCGTACCTGTAGAGCGCTCGCCTCGCACGTGGGAGACCCTGGGTTCGATCCTCAGCACCACATAAAAATAAATAAACCAAATAAAGACATTGTGCCCATGTATAACTAAAAAAAAAAAAAATTAAAAAGAAAAGAAATGCGTACCTGTGGCCTTCTGAACTTGCCCACTATGCTCCAAACCCTTCCTACTGCAGGGCTACCTTTCTCGCTGTTCTCCTACCTTTCAGGGGTTAGCTTTTCAGCAAAAGATTCCTTCACAGAAGCCTTCTGACCATCCTATCCAAAGGGGTCCTTTTCCCCTGCTGAAACATTAATAATATTATCTTTTAAAAGGGCTCTGTGGTTTTATTAATTCAAATCACATATATTAAGTTTTTTCCCCATTTTTAAAAGGAAGGTATAATTCACAGACAGTAAACTATGTCTTTTAGTGTATGGTCCCGCAGGTTTTGAAAAATGTGTATAGTGGTGGAGCCAACGGAGTGAAGATGTGGGACGCCTTCATTGCTCCACCAAATCCTTCATGCCGAACTGAAGTCCACCACTGTCCCCAGGCCAAGCTGCTGGTGACCACAGATCTATCTGTCCCCATCGTTTTACCCTTTCTGGAATGTTGTATGATGGCATCTCAGAGCACATGAAGCTTTTTGAGCCTGCCTTCTTCCATTTAGTAGAGTGCACTTGACATTCACCTATGTTGCTGTGTGTATCATCAGTTTCCTCCTTTTAACTGCTGAATAGTATTCTTTTACATACATCTAACACCATTTATTCATTTAGCAATCAAAGAACTTTTAGGATTTGGGGCAAATATGTATAAAAATAACATAAACATTCATACATAGGTTTATGTGTGAGCACACGTTTTTCTTTTTCTTGCATAAACAACGAGGAATGAGAATGCTGGGTTATATAGGGTTGCATAGTAAGTGTACATTTACTTTTTTTCTGACAGAATGGCTTTTATTTTAGAGTATTGTGAGTGGAAGAGGGGGGAGTCACTCAAACAAGGGATTTTCTTTATATATATACATATATTTTTTTCTTTTTAGATATACGTGACAGTAGAGTATATATAATACATACATGGAATATAACCTTTTCTAATTAGGATCCCATTCTTGTGGCTATACTTGATGTGGAGTGTCACTTGTCATGTATTCATATATGAACATAGGAAAATTATGTCTGATTCATTCTACTCTCTTTCCTATTCCCATCCCCCATCCCTTTCCTTCATTCCCCTCTGTCTAACCCAATGAACTTCTATTCTTCCCTCTCCCTCCCTTATTATGTGTTAGCATCTGCATGTCAGAGAGAACATTCTGACTTTGGTTTTTTGGAACTGGCTTATTTCACTTAGCATGACATTCTCCAGTTCCTTTCACTTGCCAGCAAATGCCATGATTTCATTCTTCTTTATAGCTGAATAATATTCCATTGTGTATATATACCACTGTTTCTTTTTTCATGTAATTTTTTAATTTACATATGACAGCAGAATGCATTACAATTCTTATTACATATATAGAGCACAATTTTTCATATCTCTGGTTGTATACATAGTATATTCACACCAATTCATGTCATCATACATGTACTTTGGATAGTAATGATCATCACATTCAACCATCATTAATTACCCCATGTCTCTTCCCTTCCCCTCCAACCCCTCTGCCCTATCTAGAGTTCATCTATTCCTCCCATGCTCCCGCTGTCTATCCCACTATGAATCAGCCTTCTTATATCAAAGAAAACATTCAGCATTTTATGCCACTGTTTCTTTATCCATTCATCTATTGAAGGACACCTAGGTTAGTTCCATAGCTTAGCTATTGTGAATTGAACTGCTATGAATATTGATGTGGCTGTGTCACTGTAGTATGCTGATTTTAAGTCCTTTGGGTATAAACCAAGGAGTAGTATAGCTGGGTCAAATGGGGTACATTTATATTTTTAAGAAACTGCCAAATGGTTTCAAATGGCTATACCATTTTGCCTGGCTTCAGCCATGTTTTAAGAGTTCTAGCTGCTCTGAATCCTCACCAGCTCTCAGCATTGTTAGGATCCTTCTTTTTTCTTTCTTTCTTCCTTTTTTCTTGTTTTACTATAATTGTCCTAATAGATGTGTAGTGGTATCTTATTGTCCTCACTTTTCATTTAGCTAATAACTAATGATGTTAAGTCTTTTCTTATACTTACTTGCTATATATATATCATCTTGGATGAAGTGTCTGTTGCATCTTTTGCCCATTTAAAAATTTGGGTTATTGGGGCTGGGGATGTGGCTCAAGCGGTAGTTCGCTCGCCTGGCATGCGTGTGGCCCAGGTTCAGTCCTCAGCACCACATACAAACGAAGATGTTGTGTCCGCCGAAAACTAAAAAAATAAATATTTTTAAAAATTCTCTCTCTCTCTCTCTCTTAAAAAAATTTGAATTGTTGGTTTACTTATTATTGAGTTGTGAAGGTTCTTAATATATTCTAGATAAAAGTCCAGATAATCAGGATGTGATTTGCAAATTTTCCTTCCTAATTTGTGGCTTGACTTTTCATACCTTTAACCATGTCTTTGGAGCAGCAGTAGGTCTTCATTCTATTAGGTCTGACAGCTCTTTCATATTATCTAGATGACATTGGGTGTTTTTTTTTTCTTTCTTGAATTTAATTTAATTTATAACTTCTCATTCCAATACAATCATTACCCAAGTATCTATATAGGAACAGCACTTCATTTTTGAAAGATCAAAAGTATCGATTCTATTGGGTGTCTTTTCTTAATTCTCAGGACTTAGTTCATCCCTTAATCTGTTTGCAGCTTATTAAATGAGGTGATGTCCCTGGAAGGCCAAACTGAAAATCTGGGGGACCGGGGCCTTGACCCTGTCAAGGAGGCAAACATTGAGGTAAGCTGGAGGCTTGGGAGCTTCTGCCCTTTCTCCCTACCCCTTCTATCATTTCACAGGCCACAACAAGAAGTAAGATGCCTCTCTGTCACAAAGAGGGGTGCTCTCTCATGGTCAGTTCTGAGCACCTCCTGGGTAACACCACTTCTCTCATTACTCAAGAAGCCTAGACTTCCCATTCTACCTTCAAACTAGGTAAGACAGAGATGATAAATCTCTATTTGGTGCCATCTTAAGGTACGTATAAGTACCTTAAGGGAAGTTCTTTCCTACCACCTAACAGCACAGAGAAACCACTCAGGAAATAAATCTTCCTCAAGAATTGCATCTTTAGAATATAAGTGTTTGATGAGTTCTTGAGTGGTTTTCACAATCTTCAGTTTTCTGATTGCTTTGTCTCCTTGCATTTCATAGAAACTCTTTTTAGAGAAATCGTTTATTTTCTATTTTTAAAAGAGACAGGATATGAAGCTGAAAGGTAGTGATCAATTTTGAGCATGAATAAGACTTCAGAATTCTAACTGGTAATTCTTCCATTCTCCTGTAAGCCAGGCCTTTAAAGAGAAGTCCAAAATGAAAAATTTCACTTTTTTCTAAAAAAAAAAAAAAAAATTTGTATCTATCTCTTTTTATTGAAATTGCCAGCCTCTGCTTTGTTCAAGTCCAAAATGAAAAATTTCACTTTTTTCTAAAAAAAAAAAAAAAAATTTATATCTATCTCTTTTTATTGAAATTGCCAGCCTCTGCTTTGTTCAAGCTCTAGAATTTAAAGTGGATTTTGGAAGAAGTAAAGTTTACTTTATGTATTGTAGGAAGGTAATGTTTATTTAGAGTCCTCACATATTAAAAGTCACCTCCAGACCAGCACAGATTTCTTACCTGGAGAAGAAAAAATTACTTTTAAACATAATAGAGTCTAATATTCTCAGTCATAATCTTATTTTGCACTAGTTTGAAAGAAAACAGCTCCCCACCCACCCACCCACACACATGCACTATTTTGGGCTTTGGAAATTGCAAACTCTGGAAAAAAGAAGGGGACGGTCTCCTTTGACATTTTTCCCAAAAGTCAGCTGAATGTATTATAGGAATGCGGTTTTCATCAGGAGGCAGAGATTAGGAAGGACAAATATTTAAAGACTGGGGAGAAAGATGAAGGAGCAAGGTTAAATAAAAGTGAGTTTTTTGTTTTGTTTTGTTTTGTTTTTGAACAAAGGAGGAGTTTGGGATGATAGGAAAAGGGCAAACATCATACCTACCTCTGGAAATTGTCTGTACTGGAAATATGAAACTTTGTATACACATTAAAAACAAAACTAAACAAAACCAGGCCTGTGCTTAAAAACAAGAAACAGTCCCAGTATCCACCAGTGGGTATGTGAATAAACTGTGGGTCCTGTGTGGTGAAATACCACTGTGCAATAAAAAGGAACAAACATCTTATTCACTCAAAACATGAGTGGACTCTGATGCCTTAGGCTAAGTGAAGGACCCCAGACTCAGAAGGCTGTGGGCGTATGACTCTATTTAGGTAACACTCTGCAAAAACCATAGGAAGAAAAAATAGGTTAGTGGTTAGGGGTTGAGTGGAGAAAGGGAGGAGGGAATTGACAAAGGCTACAAAGAAATGAAAAGAAATGAAGAAAACAGTCTGTAATCCTGGTGGCAGTGATGACTACGTGGCAGTATACAAGCATCAAAATTTAGGAACTATATGATCTTGAAAGGTGAGTTTACTGTACATAAATTGTACCTCAATAAATATGTTTTCAAAAAAAAATGATTCAATCTCTGTTGTCAAGTATACGGGCTGATGGAATTTCCTCTGGTGAGGAAAGTAAGGAAGTTAATAAAATTAAAACAGGTATTGGCTTATTTATTCCTCATGATAAAAATGGAGTAAGAAAAATGTGAAAACAGGAACTAAAGAATAATTTAGTAAAATTATTTCTGGAAAAAAAGAAAAACAGAAACAAAGATAGTTTTATTTAAAAGACCTTTAAAACTGTGGACTGCCTTTTTAAAAAAATTTATTTATTTTTAAAATTTTTTTTAAATTTTAATTCGTTATATATGACAATAGGATGCATGACAATGCATATTACACACATAGAGCACAATTTTTCATATCTCTGGTTGTACACAAAGTAGAGTCACATCCTTCGTGTCTTCATACATGTACTTAGGGTAAAGATGACCATCACATTTGTGGACTGCCTTTTGAGGTGGCCTTTGGGTATCACCTGATCATTGAGTCCTACGTCCATGAAGCTTTCTGAAATCCCCAAATAAACATCTAGATTTTTATTCTGAGATGAACTCTGTCCTAGTTATCTTTGACAAGTTCTGCATAAGATGTTTGTTGTATAAGTAAACCAGAACGTCAATTAAAATGTGATCTTTGTAGCATAACTCCTTCCTGAGTAATTAAATCACATGATCAATTTGGGGTTGGTGACAAATTAACTTGGTACGACATGGAGGTGACTACACTCTTTCCAGGGTAGCAATAAGCTCCTGGTGAGTAAAAACTGCTTGAGGAGATAAGTACTCCTGTTACTTGTGTCCAACTAGCTCAGTGTCTACCTCCATGGCCATTTATGTAGGATGCAGCTAACGATATCTTGATTTAATGCTGTTTTGTAGATTAATACACAGAACGGCATTGGGGGTGGAACAGCTTGTATTCAGTCTGAAACTTTTTGACCTCACATGTACTTTCTCCTAAAAATAATTTGTTTTGTTTCACTTCCACACATCATTCATTACAACTTCTACTTTATATGCTTTTGTTTTCTAGGAGAAGATCATAGAAATTAGAAAGCAATTAAGAGAAATGAATAACAAATTGACCCAGGTAATGATAAAATGGCTTTACAACTTAAAGAGGTAAATTATTCTTCGAGAAATCTCAAATTTAGAGAATTGCAGGGAATGGAATCTAAAATTCAATGAAAATACTCTCAGAAGTTGAAACCAAGAAGAGAACTTACTGTCATGTAGTTTGTAATCTTACTTTCAAAAAAAGAAAAGTATGATTCAAAAAGATGAAGTGATGAAGTCACTTGCCCATTTTTCCAGATGAAAAGAACCAGTCTTTGTCATGCTCCCCATTTATATTAATATTATACATAAACATGCATATGCATTTTTCTTCTAATAGAAGTAATACATACTTATTTTAGCAACTAAAAATTGTGAGACTGAGATTTTTTTAAAAATGAAAAACGATCCCAGTCCCTCAAAAGGCACATTTTATTTTAGGACATTTATATTCTAAAATGTAATAGGACCTTTATATCTTAGGACATTTATATTCTGATATTCTGAATTTTTCTTGTATATATATTTGTGTATTATTGTTATTTCAATGAGATCATATTATGCACACTGTTTTGCAATTGCTTTTTCATATAACAATTTTCTTCAATAGTTTTCTATGCTTGTAGGTGTCCTCTTACCTTTTTTTTTTAGTCACTGCTATTATGCAGGTTTGAATTTACACCAAATTAATTTTGTTGTATATCTGGGACTGCATACACCCTGTTTGCCACAAGAAACTATGCCTTGAAAATCCATGCCTTGCCTTACTCTTACAAGGGCTTCTTCAAGAATCAGTTTCTAGGGCTGGGGTTGTGGCTCAGTGGTAGAGTGCTCACCTAGCACACATGAGGCAGTGGGTTCAAACCTCAGCACCACATAAAGATATTATGTCCACCTACAACTAAAAACTAAATAAAAGAATCAGTTTCTAGGGACACTACCATCTCTCAAACGGATCTTTCTTGAATCCAGCACACTGTTCTTCCTGCTGTAACTCTGCTTTTCAAGGTATCCTGGGATGATTAATTTAACACATGTGCAAGCATCATAAATTCTGACATATGTGCAGTTGGCATTCATGTCTTAGAAGGGAATGGTTTGGCTTTGGCCCCTGTCTTGTTCTTTTTTTCTTTTTAAAGATTTTTAGCTTTATATGGACATAATACCTTTATTTTATTGATTTTTATGTGGTGCTGAGGATCGAACCTAGTGCCTCACACATGCTAGGCAAGGGCTCTACCACTGAGCTACAACCCCAGCTCCCTGTCTTACTGACAGAAACCATCTGTGTTCTCTCCTTGATAACTTACTGGAAACATGGGAAGAAAACAGGAACTATAACTTTTTTGTGAATAGCTTTTGCTAAACCAGGGAGCCTGAATATTCAATTAAATAAAATAGGACTTCATAGTTATAAATTATAAATTTTTAAGTATTTAAAAGAAATACTTTTCACCAGGCACTGTGGCACATGCCTGAATTGCCAGTGGCACAGAAGGCCAAGGCAGGAGGATCACAAGTTCAAAGCCAACCTCAGCAACTTAGTGAGGTACTGAGAAATTCAGTGAGAACTTGTCTCTAAATAAAATACAAAAAAAGGGCTGGGGATGTGTCTCAGTGGTTAAGTGCCCCTTAGTTCAACACCCTGTACATATATATATATATATA